GTGGAAAAGGAAGGGCGCCTTTTGCGTCTGGATATACTTAGCAACAGAAGGGCGCCCTGTACGTTGGGCACGAAGTATAGGAAACTTGCATGGTTAAAAAGAAGGGCGCCGCCTACGTTGGGCACGACTTCCGCATCATTTTTACAATGCGAGAACTCTATCTTGTATTTCTAGTATCTTTGTTATTACCCAGTACTCCACCGCGCACGGTCGGTTTGTCTGTTTATCTGTTCTCCACAAGATACTGTACTTTTGTTTTCTGCTTACTGAGTTTATAGCGGGCGTATCTACCGCGCTGCGCAGCGCTGCACTGGGTGCGATTTTTTTTTCCGTACGAAACATTTACATGAAACTCCACTCGGGCCGTCTCGGCTGAATCGACCCGAAAATCTCATTGCAGAATTCAGGAGGTCAAAAGGTCATCAACATATAAACGTCTACAGAACAGAACAACTTCTGAGAGAACGTCGCTGTCTATTTTTTAAAAATACATTGATGTTACCATGTTAATACCAATGGGTCGTTTAATATGACATATAATATTTGATTAAGCTGCACGAGTAATGAAAAGTGTTATTTTAACTTGAGTTACATACTATGACAATTTTAATTTTTTAGTTAGGCCTGGGTTTTGCATAATTACCTAGGCCTACAAGTAGGCCGACGCTTTCTGGGAAAAGCACAAAGAGTAAGGAAAAGCGCGTGTTTCTTCATCTGATCAAATGAAACAGAATGACAGTTATTTTCAAATTAAGAGAAGAGCTGAGAATAGGCAGCTCTAAAATACTGGATGCCATAAGACCTGCCAAAATGGCAAAACATCAAATGAATGTAAAAATGTGCTAGTTATTAATATTAGGCATAGTAATCGGCAGGTTCTTGATTACAAGGCTAGACCAAGTTAATTACATGCCGAAATGATAATAATAATAATTATTATTATTATTATTATTACCTGTACGTTAAGGGGAACTTAGACAAAGGGGAAATAACATAAAAAATATTCCCCTTGGGCTAGTTATTATTTATAGGCCTAGTAAATAGTATCTGTAGGTTCTTTAGTAAAT